CATCATTTTAATTTTTTTATGTATCATGAACTTGAAATAGCAAGCCAAAAATCATACCATGATAAGTCAAGAGAAAAAAATGTGGAAAAAATGAAAGAACCGTTAGGCACATTGAATGTGCCTTTTATTCATGAATTTCAGGAAATTTTCATTTGTCCTGGGCAAGCATCCAACCTTGTCCACAATCTGCTTCCTACCAAAACTACCAACGGACACACCAGGTTCTTTTTAGAATACGAACAGAGAACATTACAGACAAATCCTCACTCTTCCTACGTGAAACGCTGGCCACAAACCCTGCTGGAACCTTTGGCTGTGAATGCAGCGGGACCATGGGTGAGCCTCAAAAGCTCTTTTAGATTAGAGCAAGCGTCAACGCATCCCTGCAGAGAGACGCTCCCAGCCTACCTTGCGGGCAGCTCCAGAGTTTCCCCTGGTCGATGAGGCACCCTGAAGACAAAGGCACCTGCAGAGCTTATCACTCGGCTGCAAAGATGGCAGGGACACTCGAGCACCCAACAACGACCCAAGGGAGAGGTTACCCTCACATTTCCATTGCAATCCCTTTCCCCCACCCGCTAAACATACAAGCACACGTCATATATTGATTTTATTTTTGTGTAGATAGCACACAAACATGGTCTGAAATTAGCAACCTTAGAAGAAGTTTCCTCCAACCGCTGTATAAAATTAAACTAGAAATATTTGCAGAAAGGCTAACAAAGACCTCTATGACTAGAATTTAAATGATACAGTCGTTCTATTTCAGATTCTCCGGGAAGCATATATGCAGACATGAGCATGACGTAGATGGGAAGATTCCATGAGAGAGCAGCGAGAAAACAGGAAAATTCAGCCAGGGGAATGGGAAAAGCCAGTCAATATCTTCAAATGTCTGGTTTGTCTGGTGATGGCTCTATTACTCAGATACCTGCTGTGAGTGCAAGACCCCTCAAGACTTCCTCCAAAGGAGGATGAAGATTTGAACGCTAGCGCCAGCTGGCCAGGGACTGAGCGACCTAGAGGTGTTAGCTTTCTTGGGAACTGGTTTGTGCACAAGTCAAGCAGTCTCACAAAGAATCGAAGGCCTGGAGGAGAAAGCTCAGCCTGGAGTTGGGGACCTGACAGCACCATGAGGTCCACTGCAGCTATGGTTGCAATCAGAGCAGATTGAAGATGAAAGGTGGGGGCCGGCGCTGTGGCGTAGTGGGTAAAGCTGCTGCCTGCAGTGCTGGCATCCCATATGGGCGCCGGTTCAAGTCCCGGTTGCTCCACTTCCAATCCGGCTCTCTGCTATGGCCTGGCAAAGCAGTAGAAGATGGCCCAGGTCCTTGGGCCCCTGCACCCACATGGGAGACCCAGAGGAAGCTCCTGGCCCCTGGTTTTGGATCGGCACAGCTCTGGCTGTTGTGGCCAAATGGGGAGTGAACCAGCAGATGGGAGACCTCTCTCTCTCTCTCTCTTTGCCTCTCTTTCTCTTTCTGTGTATCTCTAACTTTCAAATAAATAGATACATATTTTTAAAAAAAGAAGATGAAAGGTGACACCAGATGCTTCAGGTACAGCTTTTCAAGCAGCCATTGTTCACAGGAAGCTGGGGCCCTCTCAGCAGCACAGGGCCAATGCAGCCACCAAATCCTGAGGCATACAGCTGGAGGTGCGCTCACAGGCAATGCTTAAAAAACTAGGAGAGCCGGCGCCGCGGCTCACTAGGCTAATCCTCCGCCTTGCGGCGCTGGCACACCGGGTTCTAGTCCCGGTCGGGGCGCCGGATTCTGTCCCGGTTGCCCCTCTTCCAGGCCAGCTCTCTGCTGTGGCCCAGGAGTGCAGTGGAGGATGGCCCAAGTGCTTGGGCCCTGCACCCCAGGTGCAGTACCTGGATAAGTACCTGGCCTCTGCCATCGGATCAGCGCGGTGCGGCCGCAGTGAGCAGGCTGCGGCGGCCATTGGAGGGTGAACCAACGGCAAAGGAAGACCACCTTTCTATCTGTTTCTCTCTCTCACTGTCCACTCTGCCTGTCAAAAAATAAAAAAATAAAAAAAAAAAACTAGGAGAAGAAGGAAGCTGAAGGTACACCCTGCAAGTTACACAAAGAATATCAAACTCAGCTAAAAGACCGCAGAAGGGAGGAACTAATACAGAGAAAAAAAAAAAAAAACTAGACACAAATAGAATCAACAAAGACGCCAACATGTCAGGATCCATCAGGAGTTAAGAATACATAAGATGCCAATATGAAATATAAAACATGGGATACTACTACAGAATCTACGTGTGACTAAATGATAAGGACATTTTGTACAAACCTTTATATCAGTGAGTTTGAAAAGGTCAAAAGAAATCAACAGATTTCCAGAAAACATGTTACTTAAATTTATGTTAAAAAATAGCAATTCTAAATAGTCCTACATCAACAAAAGAAACTTGTTGGATAATTAAAAATTTTCCATAAGAAAAATGAAATTTCCATTCAAGATGTCTTCACTACTGAATCTAAAAAAAAAAAAAAAAAAAAAATTCAGTAGCAATTGCGCCAAAGTTCTGCAACCTCTACTAGAGAGTCGAAAATGAGAACACAAAATCTGACAGCAAGCCTGAAAATGATGTTGCAAGAAAGAAAATCACAGAACAGTCCCTCTCATCAACGTAAGTGCAAAAATCCTTAACAAAATACTGGCAAACCCAATATAGTTCTATTTAAAGTAGCAGATGTAACACGAACGATGAGTGTGTTCAAAGACTGCAATGGTGCTGAGTGTTGCTAATCAGTCACAGGATTCATCACTTGAATGGAAAGAAAGATGCTAATCATTGCAGGCATCCCAAACGAAAGCAGAAAATGCAGGTGAGAACAACCAACATCCGTTCATCATGTAAGAATTTTAAAAACCTAGGAAACGAATAATAGGAAAGAATGTCCATATTCTAAGAAGGTATCTACACAAACCTACTGCAAACACCAAAGTTAATCACAAAATGTTGATCTCCTTTGAGATCCAGAAGAGGAAAAGATCACTTCACCTTGACTTTGTCCTTGAGGCTCTAACCCGTGCAATACGGCAAGAGGATTGCTTGAGCAGGGCTTCCCTTGAGAAGCAGTAGAGAGACAACAATGGCAGTGTGTGTTGGGAAGAGGAGCATTCGGGGCCCATGTGTGCCACTAAGGAGCAGAGAGTTAGCCACCGAGACTGGAAGAAAAGGCAGAACAGGGGCTGACGGAGCAGGCTGGTGGACTCAGTGGTGCACGGTAGGAGTTCTATCTCATTCATTCACATTCCTTGCAGGTCTGGAAAGAAAAGCCTAGAACAAGGGGCGGGGTGGGGTGGGGGAGTAGGGAAAGGAAGGTACTGGTGGGGGACTGAGAAGCAGAGAGGCGTGGAAAGCTGTTCTGGAGGCTGGCAGGGTGAGCTCATGCCTTGGCAGTGAGAGAACTCCCTGAGACTGGAAGTCGAAAACTTTAGAGTGAAACCAGATCGCACTGACACATTTCTCCCCATGCGTTCAAGCAGTTGGGTGCATATTTGGAATAGCTGGACAGACACTTAACATGATAAGAGCAGGGTAGAGGGAGGGAGTTAGAGGTATTTGGGGGAGTGATTTCAGGACAGCACCGTTGAATTCCCTGAGTAAGAACGGGGTGAGTACCTTGGTGGGGGGGGGCCTACATTTAGTAAAGTGGGCAGGAAGAGCTCAGGCTGTACTGGGCAGCTCCGTCTCTGACGCAGCTTCTGGAATGAGGTTGTAGCGAGAGACCTGGATCGGGAATCGTAACAAGAGAGGGGCCGATTTCAAACCAGGCAGAAATAGCAGCTGATCACAAGTGTGGCAGTGCCGACTTCTGTGTGCTTCGAGTGCACACCCAGGGACGTTCTTTAAGGCCCTGCTTGTGGGCCCTCGGAGCACTGTGAAGCTGAATGCATTCTATTTCTGAATCCTCACTCGGGACGTAATAGGAAGACGCTTTCATGCTAATCAACGGGAATGTTCCAGATTCCACCAGCAATTCAGTGACTGCTGTGTGCATTGCTTTTTATAGCACACAGCTTACTGTGTCCGTGGTCAGCAAGAACAGCTGATGGAGGGCAGCAGGGCCCACCTGGGAGAACAAGTCTGCGTTCCTGCTCCCCCGCCTCACCCCTGGCGGGGGGGGGGGGGGGCGGACATGGGGTTCCAGTGCTTTCTCACACTCAACTTCCTGTATCCTCTTGCCCTGGGGAGGGAGGCACCACCAGCATCACGCTGTTTATCAGCCCTGAGCGCCTTGGTGTTGAGAACCAGCTGTGCAGAGGAGTGGGCTCCAAGTTCATTCAGCAGAGAGGGGCCAGTAACCACTCAGGACATCCCGGCTATGGCTGTGAGACTTTTCAGCCTCCAAAACTCTGAGCTAAGTAATCCTCTTTTTTTTTTTTAATAAAAATCAAAAATCCACTCTCAAGGATTTTCTGATAGCAAAAAAAAAAAAAACAGACTAAAACTTATCCAGAGGGAATGAAACCAGTATGTTGACACCTGCACTTCCGTAGTTATTGTAGCACTGTATTCACATAGAGGATCAACCTAGGTGTCTATCAATGGATGGCTAGATAAAGAAAATGCAAGAGAGATATATATCTTACACATATTTCTTATATTATATACATATACGTATATATCATGAGATATTATTTTACTGCTTATATATATAGATGGATGAGTTGTTGAAGTGTGATATATGTGTGTGTATATATACAGATTGGTAGTATTTCATGGCATGTATGTGTACATATACTATTCAGCCATAAAAAGGATGGAATCCTGTCATTTGTGGCAATACTGATGGAAGTAGAAGACATGTAACACGTTAAATGGAGTAAACCAAGCGTGGGAAGATAAATGCTGCATGCTCTCACTCAGGTGGAGTCGAGAAAAGTCGATCTCACGTCAGAGAGAGCACAGAGGGTAGCAGGGGCTGGGGTGGGGAGGGAAGTGGTCAGGCTGTGGGTACAAAGCACAGGTAAGGAGGCCTTCATTCTGTGTTCTAGTGCACAACGAGGGTGACGACGGTTGGCAAGACTGTACTGGAGAGTCCAGAACAACTAGAACAGAGGATTTGGAATATTCTTAGCACAACACATAAATGCAAGAGGTGATGGCTGATTATCCTGATTGGATATCACACAAGGTACACATATATCAAAACATCATAGCGTGCACAATAAATATGCACAATTATTACCTGTTAATTAAAAAACAACAAAAGAGTGGTTCAGAAACACAGATGATGTTTGGAACGTTGCGGGATGGCTTTGGGAAGCAGAAGTAGCATTCTGCTGGCCTCACTGCCTGTTTAGGGTTGGATTCTGCTGTGGGGCGAGAACTTTATTTTGTGAATGCATCTTGAATGGAGAGTTTAGTTTTTTCCCCTATAATCACCCCAGATGTTTAACAGTTTTGTCATTGCTCTCAATGCACCGTCACAGGAAGTAAAACATTCTGCAATGGTCCAACCAGAGGACAAGGGTTAGAGCATTAACAGGTGATTGGAGAGTGAGAAGCTCATATGTGAAGTTCTCGGAGGAAAGGCTGCTGTTAATAATGTAAGGCCTGGGGCTTGACAGCACCACTGTATTCCTGAAATGGAGTGAGAGCAGAGACCGGTGCAGGAGTGGAAAGTGCGGCGTGGGATGCTTTTGTCCAGGTGAACACAGAGGTCACCAGGTATGAAGACAGAAGAGAGAAAACCAGGAAGCCAGGTGCCAAGCTCTGTGAAGAAGAATGGGGAGTGGTTTTCCTATCATTTCCCCAAGCAGGGACAGGAGGCACCAAAGTGCTTTGAGTTGGAGGGCAGGTAGTGAGGCAGGAGGGTAGTTCATCCTGACGTCACAACAAGGAACGTCGTCTGCTTCTGGGCCAAAGGCAAAGGAATATGAAGGAAATGACACAGCCACAGAAAAAGCAAAGCCTCTAATGTAGGAAGAGTCTTTAGTTACCATAAGAAAGTCAGAGACCCATTTGAGAAGAGGCTGAGGGCATGGTCATGACCCTGGTGTCCATGGGGTGCCAGCCGCAAGTGTCTGGGGGGTTCACCAGGCTTCTTTCACCCCAGTGTTGACCCAGGGGTGATGCCCAGAGCTGCTGAGTACCACGGAATCTACACAACTCATCTGTTGGGAGTAGGGGCATCAACAGTCCTAATGGGAGCTTCCTTTTAGGAACCAGCTGTACTGTGGGCATACTGCAGCAAGAGAAGGAGTTTGAATGAACGACATCAGCGTGGAGCCCACGATGAGGAGACAAAGAGTATCCAGCAACGACTTAGACTTGAGTCTTCCACTGCAGAAACTCCAGCTCAGCTGATGCAGTGGATAGAATTATATTGTTACTAGAACAAAATACCTGAGACAAGCAGCGAGTGAAGGAAAGAGAGACTTACTTGGCTCATGGTTTTGGAGGATCAAGTCCAAGATCATGTGGGCCCTGTTGCTTTGGCTTCTGTAGGTGATGGCAATGGTGCAGCACTCGTGGAGGGAGGGTCACGCAGTGAGCCAGGGAGCACAGAGAGAGACCAGACACAGCTCTCTCATGAGAACTAGCTTCCGAGGGAAAAGCATGCATTTGTTCTTTGGAGCTTCGTGCAGTGCCAAGGGTCGGGGCAAGGGAGGCATGACCAGCCCTGATAGTTTTCTCTTCAGATCATCACCACAGCCAAGAATCAGGCTCAACCCCAGAATATTCATCTTCACTCCCGTAGACATCACTCAAGTCATGGCAGATACCATGAATGACCAGAAGGAATGGGAACCCCAAATAGTTCTGGCCGAGTCAAGAGGTTCAGAATTTCTGTTTCTTAAATTCAAGGCTAATAAATGACTGATTCATAAAATGAAAAAAAAAAAAAAAGGTGGGGAGGAGGTCTGGCTACGTGTCTGGCCCCTGAGTGATGACAAGTTCATTTGGGAAGTACTCCAGATCACGGTTGCACCCCAGAACACATTTTCTGCACCCCTGAGCTGAGCTGTCCTTGCACAAGAAATCACGTCTGGTTTTATCAGTTCAACACATCACGAAACACATCTTTTCTGGCCCAGGAAACTGGTAGATCAAGGAATACAGAGTACATGGGCAGCATTTTCAAGGAGTATGGAGTCAAGTCTGGGAAACCAGTTGTCCGGTCTCCTTCTCACTGCTACAAAGAAAGCATGTCAGAGCCTTTGCTGATATCTACAACAGGCTGCCCGTAATGTCAAGTTTACTTGGCTGGAGGTCATTAATCAACCCTAGCTGTCAGTTTCAGAAGGAGTCGGCTAACCAGGCACATCTCAATTATTTGCTGTCTGCATATTGCATCATGTAATGGCCATTTAGGATCTGTGCTCCTGAAGCCTTCCTGGACAGAGACGTGCTCACACCTCCAGAACATTCCAGGCATGCTTCCTGGCGGAGCTCAATTGCTCCTGACTCTCTGCACTGTGCTAAATGAGGCGAGATTTATACTCAGGGATTTTAGCCTGTCAATCTGCTCGCTCCCCAAAGACACTTTGAATGCACAGCAAACAATGGGGCTCCTTAAGATGAGCTAATTTATCCTTCTTATGGTTGGCATCTCCTTGGAAAAAGACTTCTGTCAGCCTTCTAATTCTTTGTTCTTCCACCAATGTATCACCTTTTTACGTTTTCTTTTTACGTCTAATGCTTTCACTGGATTTAGGGCGGTGTGTCTTGTTTGGTAAAAATGCTAATAATCGCCTTAGGTGATGTAGATTTCATGATGTCTTAAAATCTCTCTTTGTTCCACCAGCATCTCTATCTGACTTTGATATCACCCTGGTGGGTGTTGTACAGGGAATACGTATATAGAACGAATTCACTCACTCTTTTTCTCTCCCTCTCTTTTTAAAATTTATTTATTTGAAACTCAGCATTAGAACGGGATAAGGGGGAAGAAAGAGAAAGAGAGTTATATATCTTGCATCCATTGGTTCACTCCCCAGATGACCAAAATGACTAGGGCTGGGCCACGCAAAAGCTAGGAGCCAGGAGCTTCTTCCAGGTCTCCCACAAGGGTGCAGGGGTCCAAGCACTTGGGCCATTTCCCGCTGCTTTCCAGGCCATTAGCAGGTTGCTGGATCAGAAGTGGAGCAGCCGGGACATGAACCATCTTCCATATCAGATGCCAACATGGCACCTTTCCTTGCTACACCACAGTTCCAGCCCCCTCTCTCATTTTTTTAAGGGTTTGACTTTTTTTTTTCTTTATTTTCATTTTATTTGAAAGGCAGCAAGAGAATGACAGAGACAGAAACAGACTGAGAGAGAGAGCTTCCATCCTCTGTTCATTTCTCAAATGCTCACCAGCCAGGGTTAGGCCAGACCAAGCCAGAACTCAATCCAGGGCTCCCACATGTTGGTGGTGACCCAACTACTTGAACCATCAGCACTGCCTCCTAGAAGCAGGAATCAAAGAGGAACTGGGACTTGAACCTGGCACTCCGATACAGGATGTGGACTCCCCAGGAGCCATCTTAGCCAGTCTTAACCAGAGCCCCCCTCTTTCCCTTTCTTTTAACATGCACACATGCATGCCCACATCACGCATCCAGACTCACGAAAGCACAGGTGGTTCACAGCGATGGATGGCTATACCAGAAAAGACACAGGACTTTCTTCATACTGGGAGGGTGTCCGAGAAAGGGTGTTTGCCGTCTGGATCTGTTAGGATCTAGGCAGAGAAGAGATGACACTCACATAATAATCCAAGAACATCTCATCAGAGGTGCTTTTAACAAATATGGGGGAAAGATTTGGGGAAACTGGTGCAAAGGAGTGGGGGGCCTTGGGACACAGGGTCCGTAGGTGTGGGAGCCCCTCTCCCACCAGGGAATGGTTTGGAGGAGGTTGCCCTTTAGGGATTAAGGACTTCAGGAACAGGAGTGGCCAGCCTCAGCAAGCGGCAGACAGAGCCAGGCTGCAGGTAGCCGAACTCCTCTGCGTGACCCTGTGGCCACACCTGCCCAGGGGGCCGAGGGGCGTGGGTGGCCCCGGCACCCAGAGTGGAGAAGGATCTGCAGAGACCGGGGTGTCTGGACTCGTTTGTCGGCTCAGGGGTGGTGTTTTAGGGTATTGGTGGGTTATTTGCTGTGCACTCTGCTACGCCTCCCAGAATGTGAGGTGAGCTGACATTGTTACTGTCACCTGCAGAAGCATGTCTGGAAAAGAGCTCCCGCCACTCCTGCGCACTCAGAAGACGAGGTCTGCCGGTCACCACAGGACATTTGCACAGCATGGGACTCTTGTGCCGAGCCTCTGAGGTGTGCAAACTCAGAGTACAGAGGGGTCTTTCCAACACAGAGCTGCTTCACTCCACACTGCACCACTTAGCACAAATGCATCCGTCCCAGCTGATAGCTCGTGCTCTCTCTCTCTCTCTCTCTCACTCACACACACACACACACACACACACACCTCACTCACTGTCTCAAGACGTAGATCATTTCCATGGTCACTAAGACCCAGGGTGATGGACATTCTTACAGTGGTTACAAAGACATGCGGTAGAAACTCTGTATCACCTGAATGGGGAAATATGATCCTTGAAAGTAGTTGGACCTTAGCCCAAAGCCTAGGAACAAGACCCAAGAGGAACTTGTCTTTTTGTAGCTAAGACACATACAGTCCCTAGCAACCAACTGTCCTGAACCCGACAACAACTTAAGCAATGAGAAATACATAGTTTTGTTTGCTTGTTGCTTTTTCTTTTCTAAGAAAGGAAGCACTCGGTTTTTTTTTAATATTTTTATTTTATTTTTATTTTTTTATTATTTTTTTGAAAGGCAGAGTGGACAGTGAGAGAGAGAGACAGAGAGAAAGGTCTTCCTTTGCCACTGGTTCACCCTCCAATGGCCGCTGCTGCCGGCGCACAGCGCTGATCCGAAGGCAGGAGCCAGGTGCTTCTCCTGGTCTCCCATGGGGTGCAGGGCCCAAGGACTTGGGCCATCCTCCACTGCACTCCTGGGCCACAGCAGAGAGCTGGACTGGAAGAGGGGCAACCGGGACAGACTCTGGCGCCCCGACCAGGACTAGAACCCGGTGTGCCGGCGCTGCTAGGTGGAGGATTAGCCTATTGAGCCACAGCGCCGGCCTGAAGCACTCGTTTCTTTTTTTTAAGACATTTAGATCTCATTTTGGATCTAAAGACACAAGAGACAAACTAAACGACGTCTCGAGGTCCCAATGAAAAGACGAAGAGCCTCCTTCTGGAACATTCTGTCCACCTAGGAGGGTTTGACTGTGGTCCCTGCCAGACAAAAGAGAGAAGGTGGAGACCTCGTGAGGCTCGTATTTTTTCATTACAGAGACAGAGACAGACATGCTGTCTGCTGCTTCCCACTCCACAGCCCTGTGACAGCCAGGCCAGAACCAGCAGCCTGGAACTCAGTGTGACCCTCCCACGTGAGTGACAAGAACTTGGGCCATCCCCGGTTGTCTGCCAGGTGCTCCTGATCAGGGAGCTCTAATGGGAAGCAGAGCGGCACCAGCACCCAGGCACGCCGGCGTGAGCTGCGGTGTCCCAAGAAGCTTCTTACCTGCTACACCAAATACCTTCCCTAGATGTGTGGTTTTTATTATTATTATTGTGAAACAAACTCTGCTCAAAGCTACAGTGAATATGGACTGGAACAAGGAGAGTCACAAACAGCATTAAAAGCTAATGAAAAATCAGCTTTACATATGCAAAACAGCAACAGAAAAGTTAACAGAAGACAAGAAATCATGTTATGCTAGCTTCAGTTAAGACGTAGGTATTTGCCCTGTATTTTAATCTAATCATTCTTAGATTTTTTTTTTTTTTAACATGGGCAAGGGCTACAAACCAAATAATAACCAAATAACCAAATGGGAAGATGATCATTTCACCCAAGCACAGTACATTTTAAAATCATCACAGATCAGGGTAGGCATTGTAGTGTAACACATACAGCTGCCGTTTGTGACACCGGCATCCCCTATGGACGCTAATTCAAGTCCTGGCTGTTCCACTTCCGTCCAGCTTCCTGCTAATGTGCCTAGGAAAGCAGCGGAGGATGGCCACGTGTTTGAGCCCCTACCACTCACATCAGACCCCAAAAGAAGCTCCTGGCTCCTGGTTTCAGTCTTGGCCCAATCCTGGCCATTGTAGCCATCTGGAGAGTGAACCAGCAGATGCAAGACCTCTCTCTTCTGGCTCTCCCTCAGTCTTTGTAACTCTTTCAAATAAATAATTCATTTTTAAAAATCATCGATCATTACAACTATAGCAGGCGTGTGACTTGGTAAAGTAGATGCACCTGCTCTGAGCGATGTCAGGAACTGCCACCGAGTCGGACAGATTTGAGAGACAGCAGGGTCCCCGCCGTTCAACACAGAATCTTGCTGAGGACTTCATGAGCCTCTGACGCCCAGACGTGGTGCACACAAAATTACACGGGGCCCTTTGTTTCCATTTACCTGAACCACAGCTTGAAAAAAATCATCATGTGAACTTTTTCAGGGCTCTCAGTCTAACATTTGCCTAGCAAACACAGTCTAGATAAAGAAAGAAGCGCGTAGCGTCTGTGGAAGCGAAAGACGTTTCTATCAGAATCGACTTCTCGGAACAGCCGAGGGGAGAGCACTTTAAAAGCCATTGCTCAGGAGACAGGAGCAGAAACGTGGACTCTGTGCATTGCACGTAGACTAGAGGGGTTAAATCCTCAGCAGCTGAACACTTCATTCTACAAGGCGCCTGCCCTGGCCTTGCAGGCATTGCTTGTGTGCCCCCAGCAGCGCGTGAGTCTGGGTGTGCCTTCTATGCTGCCATCCAGTTCCCAGGCACAGTGGGACCCCAGCACCTGGCCCCACATCAAGAACCTGTAGCCGGGGGGCCGGCACTGTGGCACAGTGGGTTAATGCCCTGACCTAAAGCGCCAGCATCCTATATGGGTACCGTTTCTAGTCCTGGCTGCTCCACTTCTGATCCAGCTCTCTGCTATGGGCTGGGAAAGCAGTAGAAGATGACCCAAGTCTTTGGGTCCCTGCACCCGCATGGGAGACCAGGAGGAAGCTCCTGGCTTCAGATCAGCTCAGCTCCAACTGTTGTGGCTATTTGGGAAGTGAAACAGCAGATGGAAGACCTCCCTCTCTCTTTCTCTCTCTGTCTGTAACTCTGCCTCTCAAATAAATAAATAAATGTGTTTTTTTTTTAAAAGAATAAAGGAAGTAGTGTCTAAATGCATGTTTTTACAACAAAAATAATCAGAATGAGGCACAGATACAGAGAATATACCAAGATTTTATAGACCCTAAGAGAGAAGTGGATCTCTGAAATGTATGAAGAAACTCCACGGATGTGTGGTTTTAGCAATCCCATCATTCATCCAGACTTATCTGTCATTTCGCATGTACTGGGCTCTGTTGAGTGCAAAGGAGAATTAGGCGCAGGGCAGGCCCTCATGGAGCTTCCGGTCCTAGCAAGGAGGAGAATGTTAACATGAAATCACAAAACACAAAATGAAGTGGTGGCTTATGGAATCACTGTTTCTGAATTTGTGGATGAAGTTTATAGACCTTAAAAGGTTTGTAAGTTAAAAAAAAAAAAAGGTGAGGCAGTGCGGTGTGGAGCGTGGAGTCCTCCAGATGTCATACTTCGATGCAGCTTGTGGGCACCCCAGCGGCTCCTCAAGCCAAGAAGAAAGGGACGGGTTTCTAGATAGAGTGAAAGGCAGGTGTGACTCACGTTCCCATTGCCTTAGAAGCGCAGCCCCAGACATGGATGGGCAAGCAGCTTCCATGCGAAAGAAAAGGAAGACAGCTGATGGAAAGGTGCACGTTATGGCCCGACAGCAACGTGCGCAATCCTGCAGGGAAGCTGGGGAGCGGTGCAGAGCTCAGAGCTGAGAGTGAGGAGCCCGGGTATTTACACGGTCACAGAGCGCGGGCTGCTGGATTGTGGTCGTGGAGCTGGGCAGCACAGGGGCCGGCTTCCCTTTGCAGTGTTCCGGCAGGCCCCAGTACGTGGGTACAGACAGCGCTGAGTTCTGTCTTGAAGGGGGAGCCCCTGAGATGCCAGAGCCCAGTGCATTCCCGAGCGTTCTCGGGCGGGTCAGAGCCACGCTCGCAAACGCTGACGGCGGGTGCAGCAGCCAAGTGTGCTTGTTCTGCATTTTATCATCCTTTGATAGCTGGGGATTCTGTGACGGTGGAGCAACTGCCTGTCCAGGACCAGCTGATTCTCTCAGAGAGAGAGAGAGAGAGAGAGAGAGAGAGAGAGCAACAGGGTCCCCTGGGAGTATACTTCCTATACACAGACCAACCACGCCAGAGTCGCGCTCCAGGCCACCTCCTCCATCTGACACTGACATAATATGATGCAAAACTCTGCTGCCCTCATCACCCCAGGGCCAGGAGCCAGACAACTGGAGACACCCCCTGTGCCCTGTGTGAGCACAGCGCATGGCTAAGACTTCCTTCTGACGTCATCCTTCCAGATTCAACTTGTAGGGTCCCTCCAGGGTCATTCAAACTAGAAAACCCTAAGCTGCTTACCCTGCTGCACCCACTGCTTCCTGTGAAAACCAGGACAAAGCCTCTTTCCCATGCGTCCCTCTGCCTCCTGACCAAGGCTGGTGTCTCACCCTGTGGCCCTGCATCCCATGCTGTCTCTTGTGTCATAGGGATCTGGGACGAACGCACTTCCTTCATCTCAGCCATACCCACGTCTGCAGGGTTAGCTGGCTAACACAAATTTCAGGTACAACTCGGCACAGAGGCAGGGTGCATAGAGCTCTGAGGCTCTGGTAAGAGGCCTGCGAGGTTCCTCTGGGCCCCTGGAGATTTTATGCACGTTGATCACTCCCTTTCCAAGCTAAAAGTCAAGTTCACTCAATGGCAGGCAGGCAGCAATTGTGATTTGCTCGTATGTCTTTCCTGTCAAACAGCCAAAGGGTTGTGTTTTCTTTCTGATATATTTCCTGGATATCCAAGCCCCTTTGATGCGGTCAGTTTCATCCCACCCTCCTGTGTGGTGCACGTGATGATCCGGGAGACACAGGCGTGGGGCCGACATTTGCCGTGGACTGGAGCCCAGTTCTGTAGGCGGCCGTGTGAAGTTCTCACAGACACAGGGGCTTCCACAGCTAGATTTCTCCCCTGTGCCATCACACCCGGCGACATGATCAGGACTGTTCTGTAAACTCAACCATCATCTTGAGCGATGCCAAGGACTGAGATGCTGTGAGTAGTTGCTGCAACCAGTGGCGGACAGCTTAGCCAAAAACAGGATGCTGGCCTGGGTGAGGGACGGGGGTGTCAGATGCCAAAGACAGGTGGGATTGAGAGAGGGACTCGTGGGAACCCGGATGGTGAGATTGAGGAAGGGGAAGAGGGAGGAAGTGAGTTTCTAAGAAGTCTGCTGGAGGTTCCGTTTGGAGATAGTCCACAGTAGCTGGAGTTCTGGGTGTACTCGAGGTGCTTCCAAAAGTTCAAGGAGGGCCGGCTGTGGCACAGTGGGTTAACACCCTGGCCTGGGGCGCCAGCATCCCAACTGGATCGAGACCCGGCTGCTCCACTTCCCATCCAGCTCTCTGCTATGGCCAAGGACAGAAGTGGAGGATGGCCCAGGTCCTTGGGCTCCTGCACCCACGTGGGAGACCCAGAAGAAGCTCCTGGCTCCTGGCTTCGGATCGGCGCAGCTCTGGCCATTGTGGCCAACTGGGGAGTGAACCATCGGATAGAAGACCTCTCTGTCTCTCTCTCTCTGTCTGTCTCTCTCTCCCTCTCTCTCCCTCTCTCTGCCTCTCCTTTCTCTGTGTAACTTTGACTTCCAAATAAAAAATAAATCTTTTTTCAAAAAAAGTTCAAGGAAAATGGGAATGTGGATTTCCCATGGTCTTTGTGAAGGCCCATTGCCCTGAAATTCACAGAGTCTGCAACAACCAACGGAGAAGAAAGTCAATGACATTCACATACACAGATTGTCTGAATAGTGCTGCAGCTGGACACTGCCACAGACGCGGGGACTCAGGAAAATATCCGAATCATGCCCTTCACCGCCACGGCGTATCCTGGAAACATTTGTCATGCTGGTTGGGGATGAGCTATTCTTACTTTGAGACCAACGGAAATCTGGAGAACATAGACTTTTATGTTTGTTTTCTGGGAGACCCAGGCCACGTTGCTATCAACAGGTTTGTGTTAATAACTCTCATTTCCTATAAATAGAGCTCCTAGGAAGAGTGTCCAATGTTTCCTGACTCAAATCCAGATGGAGCAGGTGCATTCATTGGATTCATTGCAGTCATGCCATTAGCTGCCCAGGCCGGGTCAGAGCCCAAGGGCCCATAACGAAATCAAAGTGAGCTCGCAAGAGGAGCCTGCTTCTGGGATCCCAGTTACCCGGAATCTGACAATTCTGATGGATTTGGCTCTTGTGTTGTATTAGAGCTAAAGCAGTGGTGATTTCCAGAGTTTCAAGGAGAATTTGTACATTAATTTGAATGTTTTTTCAAACCCAAGATTTTTTAAAAAAAGATTTACTTTTTATTTTATTTGAAAGGCATTGTTACAGAGACAGACAGACAGAGAAGTCTTTCATCTGCTGGTTCACTCTCCAAATGCACTCAATGGCCTGGGGCTGGGCCAAGCCAAAACCAAGAGCCAGGAGCTTCTTCTAGATCTCCCACGCGGGTGCAGAGGCCCAAGGACTTAGGCCACCCTCTGCTGCTTTCCCAGGCACATTAGCAGGGATCTGGATCATAAGTGGAGCAGCCAGGACTTGAACTGGAATTATCGATGCCAACCTCATAAGCGGTGTGCCACAATGCAAGACTGTTCTTATTTCCTTTGTCACTCATAAGGTATGAGTTCACTTGCATGAATATGCTTGCGGTTCGTGACAGTTTTCCCAGTCAAAATTCCCAAAGCACAAGAAGCTTCCCCAAGCAGGAGCTCCTTCAGGAAGGAGGAACACATTAGGGCCGGCGCTGCGGAGCAGCAGATTAAGCCACCTCTTTGCAATGCCGGCATCCCACACTGGAACAACTGTTCCAATCCCAGCTACTCTCGTTCTGAGCCAGCTCCCTGCTAATGCGCCTGGGAAGGCAGTGGAAGACGAGTTTAGTGCTCGGGCTCCTATCACCTTCACCCAGATGAAGTTCCAGCCTTCTGGTTTCAACCTGGCCCAGCCCTGACTGTTGTAGCCATATGGGGAGCGAACCAAAAATGGAAGATCTCTCTCTCTGTTTCTCCCCCTCTCTCTGTTGTAAATAAATAAATAATAAATCAGCAAATAAATATTATTTAAAGAAAAATGGAGTAGCATATCAGGGTAGGTATTTGGCCTAGCAGTTAAGACTGGTTAATACAAGCGTATCTGGGGCTGGCACTGTGGCATAGTGGATCAGGCTGCTGCCTGCAATGCTAGTATCCTCCATGGGCACTGGTTCAAGTCCTGGCTGCTCCATTTGCAGCGGGAGGCTGTTACGGGCACTTGGAGAGCAAACCAGCAGATGGGAGTGCATTCTCTCTCTCTCTCTCTCTCTCTCTCTCTCTCTCCCCCCCCCTTCTAAAATAAAAGAAAAAGAAGTAATATACCAAATATAATTAGATTAAGAACCTTTCACTTCATTCTAAATAAGTTCCCAATTGAAAAAGAGGAAAACACAAGTGAGGCATTTCCCTGGGAGGCGTCCTACAATGATGATGTCGGGGAGTCTCCAAAGGGCTTTGGGGATGGCGGCGGGTCCCGGGCCTGAGTTCACAGGCAGGAAGAGCCGATCCTGTGCTTAGTAACTGCAGGAGTGTCAAAGCCCTCAGTGGATGGTTCAACCCGAAGAGCTGCAGTGGCTGGCCTCAGAACAGAAAGGGGGATTGGCGTCCTTCCCCAAACCGTGCTATCTATCGTGCACGAGAGCAGACTCACGCAGCAGGAGGGGAGGGCGACGCTGGCTGCTGACTCTGATAGAATCACTGTTGTAGTCAGCAGTTGCCATGGATTGTGATTCCTGATGCTCTGACTAAAGTGCTACTTCAAAATAAGGGACCGTTCCCTTAGCTACCACGGGGGTAGCAGTAACCCCAAATTAGAAGCCACGCACCGTGGAAGAGCTGCACCTAAGTCACTTTTGCAGGAAGTGCGAATGTGGCTGCGGATTTACAGGGGTGTATACGTCATCGCCCCTCCCACCTCGCTCCCACCCCCACTAGGCAACTCCTCATCCCAGGTCTCACCGTCTTTGACCTGCTTTACCTGCAGGGTCCTGGCCCAAGCACGTGGCAGAGGGAGGCTTCTGGACTTCTGGGTCTCCCGGGGCAGCAGCGGCTGCAGGGCTGTGCCAGGGCCAGTGGGCTGCAAGTCACTTTTCCGTGAGAGAGCTGAGCTGACAGCATCCGTCCAGGAATCCTGCAGAGGAGCCACCCAGGCGCAGGAAGATGCCAGCCACTTCCCGGAGCCTGGAGTACAGACAGCTCCCCTAGACGGCACGTTCCTGTTGTAAACCTGAACGTAACCTTGCTCCTCCAGATGAGCTCAGGTTGCAACACCGGGTGACCACCTGCCTCATCGCTCCCCAGCTCTTCTCTCTGTATGGCTGTCACCTTCCTCCTCTTGCATTGCAACTACGGAGAACTCCTGAGAACAAATGGGGCATGGCAAAGCCTCTGGAAGCAATGTAAGAGTTTCACGCTGTTGTGACTGGTAAGTGAGGGTTACAGTAATGTATCTTGTATGACAATCAAACTATTCACGAAGGATTAGGACCTAAATGGCTCTGTGATTTTGATGGGAGAGTCGATGATATTTCAAGGAATATTTATTCCCTGGGCGACGTCCCCAGTCCTGCCCAGGATGGAGGGTAGGCTTTGTGGGACTCTCAAGGAGCTCCGTGACTTGCTCTGGCTTGTAGGGATTTGAGCTGGATGTGGATTTGCCTGTTCAAGTAACCAAGTCAACACGTGCTTGTTTGGGGGCTGACTACAGGTGCTCATATCACTTAGTAGCCATGTGTCCTAGGTCATGGTTCTCCTCTCTGCCTGGAAGTGCAGGAGAACTGAGCTCTGCTCTGCAGCCAGCAGCAGACCTACACAGCCACCTGCAATCCCAGAGTGAGAACCGCACTGAGAGAGGGAGGGAACTGTGTGTTCCCACAGCGGGAGCTGACGAATGTACTTGCCTTCGTCCGTTGCTCACCGACTGCCTACCTCTTTTCCGAGTATGGTTTTATTTTACTGGTCCCCCCAGGTGGCAGTCCTACCAGTGAGCAGCGGCCACGGAAATGCTGTGTAACAAATGGCGCAGAACTTCAGCGCTGGGCACTGGTGCGTCCCGCTGCCTCCTGCATTGGGGCTGAGCTGGGTGCATTGACCGCAATGACTCTGTCCCGCATGTCCGGCAGCCAGAGCCTGGGTCAGCAGGTCACGCCCAGTGTATTTCCCTCACGGCAAGTCCAGCAGCACAGAGGCCCACGGTGCAAGCCCCTGCCTGTGCTGTGGATGCCAACATCCCAAGTCCCCGGACCAGGCTTAGTATCATGCACCAGAGTCATCCACTTCGCACTTAGAAATGAAGGGCCAAAGCGAAGTGGTTTTTTTTAAAGTCTAACCTACCACACTAGTTATTCCCAAAATTTTACTGAAAGGGGTGGTGTTTTTTCCTTTTTCTTTCCATTTCCAGGTCAAAGGAAGCAGGGGTGGGGGGTGGGGGAGAGGGGGTTAGTGCAGGTCCAGTTGGAACCCCAGCCTTTGCAACCAAGGGTCTCCGGCATCCCACCCCTGCTGTGTCTTCTGGACAGAACTCCTCCTTGGGGGAATTCTGGTTTGCATAAACGACCCTGTTGCCCTGGTGGCGGGGTGGGGGCGGGGTGGGGGGTGGTGCTGCAGAACAGAGCAGGGTTTGTGTGTGGGTACATGGACAGCGACCACTATTGGGGCTGAGACAGAGCGCCTGCTTTGCTTAGGACTGAGCCCTTCAAGGAAATGAGTTTTTCCAAACTCAGACACCTAGTGGAAGACAGTTTGGAGGCCAGCAAGTATCTGCACCTTGGGAACAAGAGAGATGGAGCGGCCGGCGCTGCGGCTCACTAGGCTAATCCTCCACCTTGCAGCACCGGCACCCCGGGTTCTAGTCCCGGTCGGGGCGCCAGATTCTGTCCCGCTTGCCCCCCTTCCAGGCCAGCTCTCTGCTGTGGCCCGGGAGTGCAGTGGAGGATGGCCCAAGTGCTTGGGCCCTGCACCCCATGGGAGACCAGGAGAAGCACCTGGCTCCTGCCATCGGATCAGCACGGTGTGCTGGCCACAGTGCGCCAGCCGCGGCGGCCATTGGAGGGTGAACCAACAGCAAAAGGAAGACCTTTCTCTCTGTCTCTCTCTCTCACTGTCCACTCTGCCTGTCAAAAAAATTAAAAAAATAAAAAAATAAAAAGAGGTGGAGCTTTCAAAGCTGCAGCTGTGCCTGCAAGCCTGGACTGATGAGAAAACACCAAGATCCTCTCCAAGCTGCCCTAAAATGCCGTGAGCTGGTGCTGCCGTAACTGGTGCTATTAAAGGAAAGTTACACGCAGGGAAGTACCTCTCATCATGACCACGAGGCAGGTTTAGGTGTGATTTCAATCCAGTTTTTAGGAGCTCAGGAAGTCGCGACAATTCAGGATGGCAATAAAACTCACAGATCACCTCACAGAACAAGTAACCAGCCTTAAAAAGCAACAGGGCCACTCCTCAAATCTCTCTTACGTCCCCAGCCCTGTGTCCCTGCATCCCGTGTCCTCATACCGAGACACGGTGGAGACTAATGCAGGACACGCCAATGAACCCACGGTGCTGCAAGCAAAGGCAGCAACAGTGCCTCTAATGCGAAAAATCAGACGGGGCCCGAGATCCATGGGAAAATGTTTCCGACACGGTCCGCTAATTTCTGTGTTTCCAAGTTGTGCAGTTAACTCTCGGCACTAGAAGTTGACTGAGACCCTCAAATCCGAAAATTCTCCACTTCCTGGAGAAAAAAGCTCCAGGAACATGGCTCTGCAACTCCAGCCTTAGCAAGCCGCACGTATCCCCTCGCTCCCCTCCGTGAACCCCGCTGAACCGTAGTCCACTTTACCTGCAGGCACATGGCAACCCAGCATTCTCCACCTGTGACTCTTCAAAGCAACAACGCCCCACTACAAAAGGGAAGAAGAACATAATAGAAGAGACCACAAAGAACCCATCTGCAAATTGCCCTCTAATCCCTTCTCTGAGCGTCAGATTAAAGCATGGGGCTGTCAGGATGGCAGACGGTTTCGAGCCATGGATGAGATCATCCAGAGAGTTCGCGGGGGAAATGTCACTTCAGACCGCTGCCTCCCTCATCCTCCTCGGTGCAAACATAAGTAGCTGGCTACTAAGTACACCGCCAGGAATAAGAATGGCTCCTTTGTGAACGTAAAATACCGATACTATGATATCAACACCTTTGCTGATGACATTACAGGGCATTTACACCTGGGAGTGGTTAAAAAGCCACCACGCCCTCCAGGAGCTGTGGATCCTCATCCCAGAGGAAAGAGTTCCCCCAACGGATTGGCCTGGAAGCTCGAGCCACATTTTCCTAAGTGTGGCTTGGAGTTACCCCCCACCACCTTTCGGTTGGTCCATCTGGAGACCTCTTCCAGGCTGCCTTGGACCTCTCCTTGGCTGGGATTCTCACAGCAGTACCTTCCCCGGAATGACACCCACACGCTCACACACAGACACGGACGCCTGTGCAGAGCACAATGCATGCTTCTCTCAAACACGCACAGGCTCCTATACAATGTGCACCTACACCACGCCCCCCCCCCCCCAGGCATACACTCAGGTACGCACAGTGATCTCCGGAGCTCAAGCAAGTGCAGAGACTACACTAAGTAAAGGGTGTGGGTTCCTTGCCCCAGCGCAAGCCTCCCTCCCTAAGGAACCTTCCCGGCCTTTGATCTTGAGAAACACGTAGCTGCTCTTTGGCCCAGGTCCTGCTGTACAATCTCCAAGATTTCGTTCTTTGAACTGTGTGTCCACATTTAAACCTCCGGGTGGCAGCAGAGGCCCATGGTTGAAGAGCTTCCGGGTGCATGTGTGGTGTGTGAACACAGCATGTGTGAGCCGTGTGTTGTGTAGTGTGTGTTGTGATGTGTGTGGTTTGTGTGGGGTGTCTGTGTGTGTGGCATGCGTATACACATGAGTGGGTATAGTCTTGTATGGTGTGCTTATGTCGTGTGTATAGGCACTGCATACAGTTCATGTGCGCACACACGTGTGGCGTGCGTATTGTGTGTTCCTGGTGTTTGTGTACATGTGTGTGCAGTGTTTACCCATGTTGCCAGCTCTGGGTATGCATGTATATTGCGTGTGGTGTATTGAACGTAGAGTGATTTGTGTGCATGATGTGTGTACGCATGCATGTACCGTGGCATGTCTGGGTGTACACGTGTATGCGCGTGCTGCATGTATACGTGTATATGTGTGCATACACAGGTGAGAAGCACAGGTATGTGAGGCGGCAGGGCAGCCCAGGGCCACCTTTCTAAGGAGAGGCTGGGTGGGGGAGGAGCTGCCCAGGTAAGAGCTGGGGGATCCCTAGCAGCAGGTGCTCTCCTGCTGCGCAGAGGAGCCACCCCCGGGGGCGGGGGCAGCAGCGGCCGGCCCACCTCCCCCTTCCTCATCCCCACTTCCCTTTAGGGTGAACGCCTGGGGCTGTGCCTTCTGTTCATGGGCAGTGCCCTCTGGGGGTTGGGCTACTCCTTTTCTCCTTCCCAGCCCTGTGCTCTCTGTCATGGCCCGTGAGGGAGCCCCGAGTCTTGCCTCGAAGTCTCAGTGCAGAAAAGAGCTACTGACTGCACACCAGTAGGGGTGTGGGGGCAGGGAAGAGGGCCCTGGCAGCCGGCAGGAGCTACCAGAAGCAGTTTCTCTCTCCTCTCTCTCTCTCTCTCCTCCTCCCTCCTTCCCTCCCCCCCCCCCCCCCATTGGGAGCCAGGAAGGCCGTTGTTCCTTTGTTGATCTTCTTTGGAAGACAATGGAAAATCTTGCCTAATCTCTTTGCCTGGAGCATCTGATAAGAAAGTTCTGGGAGGAGCTGATAATGGAGTTCTTTCAGATTAAAGCTCCCAGACGTGCAGGCACACCCCATGTCCATTCCCGTAACAGAGTGGGAGGGCATTAGGAGAATGCAGTGAGACAGGGCAGAGTGTCTGGGCAAGCTTCCTTAGGGGGAGCGCAACAGAAGGGCTCGCCTGCGGGTTTCCAGCCGCGTTTCCCGGGAGCAGGGGGCAGTGGCTCCTCCATTCCAGTGACAGGTGCTCTCCCCATGCCCTTCCAGCAGCCCGGAAGAGTGCCGCCTGGACCTCAGAGCGCCCTGGCAGCTCTGCCGATTGTACCACCAAGGATGGAAAGCCAAGAGTGCAAGCTGCCGCCCCTCCGCCGGCTCCCCTGCCAAGAGCCTCCCTCTCCTGTCTCCAGCCTGCCCAGGGCTCCTCTGCCGGTGCCTGTCTGCCGCTGTCCCCCCTGGGGCTCGGGGACCGTGAGACAGTGTGCAACGCAGACTCCCTGCCCGAGCTGGGTGTCAGCACTTGCCAGTTCTGCTGGGAACACGGAGAAACTTGCCCCGGGGTGACCTCGCTGTCCCATCCCTGGCCTCGGGTGTGCAATTGTTTATTTCCCAGCCTGGGAGACAGCCCTGAGCTCACTCACCCACATTCTGGGCTGGGGCACACTGTACCTACGGTGCCCTTTTCCCTTAGAACAGGCCTGCTGCTGCCAATGTTCTTTCAGCGACGTGCCCCACTGTCCACAGGCTGCGCACAGCCAGGGCTGGAGGGAGGCCGTGACCTGTGACCTTGGCTCTGCAAGGCCGCTGGGCTGCAGCCGGTGCACTTAACCTTTGTCCTTAATGATTTGCGTCATGGGCCATGTCTATCTGATTTCCTCTCCCCTCCCCAGGTTCAGACTGCAGGTGAGATCCTCTCACTTGGACACCTCCGAATTCACGGAGCCACTGATACTATTTTTAGCAGAAGGCAAGCTGGTTCTCCCAGAAAGGTAGCTCCTGCCCGGCAGCCTCCCAGGGCTGCCCAGGGATCACTGACGCGGATGCGGATCGGCTGCAAGGGTTTCTCTCGGAGGCAGACACCTGTCTCCAGAAACTGTACTCACCTGGGATCAAAGACCAGCCAGGTCTGCTGAACTCCAAGTTCAGATGAGCAGCACCCGATGCAGGCTTGCTACCTGGTCAGGCATTGCTGGAGGCATTCGCGCCTCCTCCAGGGTGTTGTATCTTCAATGTTAAACCACAGAGCAGGCGCCTGAGATGTGGCATGGCAGGTGAAGCCACCGCCTGCAGAGCCAGCATCCCATGGGGGCACCTGTTCAAATCTCAGCTGCTCCACTTCCCATCCAGCTCTCTGCTGTGACCTGGGAAAGCAGTAGAAGATGGCCCAAGTCCTTGGGTCCCTGCACCCACGTGGGAGACCTGGAAGAAGTTCCTGGCTTCAGATCAGCACAGCTCCAGTGTTGTGGCCATCTTGGGAATGAACCAGTGGGTGGAGGACCTCTCTCTCTGCCTTTCAAATAAATAAATAAATCTTAGAAAAAAAAAAAACACAGTGGACTTGCAAGGCGACGGAGTACTGATTGGTTTCGAACGAGATTGGCACTTTTCTCCCTCTGAGATGGTGTAGGTGACTGTATACGCTGAATGGACCCAGGGCAGTGTAGAAAACATACAAGGCTTCTTTCAGACAAACCACAGATAATGAGCATAAAAAGATACTGTCTCCTTCCCTTCTTGTGCAGGTTTGTTTCTGCCCTTGCAAAACAATGATAATGTGTTAATAAATAATAATAGTATTCATGTGACCTACTGTGAGTAATGGAGAGAAAGGGTGGGCAGATGTGCCCCCAGCACAGCGGCAGTGCACCTGCCAGCCTCCCTGGCCTACACCAGGGCATTGCTGGCCCAGCAAGGTGTCTCTCACAAACAGGGCCCCAGCCTGCACATAACCAAGGGCTCGGTGGGGCATGTGCAGATCTGCCTTGATTTGAAGTCATTGCTGTTCAACATTAAATACAAGATCTAAGGGACAACGGATATTCACGGTGTATTCTTACTGGAAGGAATAATTGCCATGAAGGCAGAGGCAGCAGGCAGTGACAGGTTCCCCAAGAGTTTACTAAATGTCTTTATGCACCGCTCCTCTGCGCATGTCCACAGACGATGGGAGGAGGAGGACCTGGGGCAGGTGCAGGGAGCACCTGTCAAGCCTGCGTCTCCGAGGACAGCGGGGCAGCAGTTGGGCTCACTGGCCACGGACGGCGAGGAGCTGGTCAGCACTGCTCTCTGAGCTGTGGCTAATGAGCTCCTGGTGGAGGGACTGTGGGTTTCAGAGCATGTGCCTTGACAGATGGGGTGGCCTCAGCAAGGCGGGGGTGCACTTGGACCTGCCAATCACTGGCTCCAGGCCTTGGGGAGAGACAGAGAAATTGATGGAGAGCAAGCGAAAGCACTTTTCAACACAGGCTGGCCTTGACCCACGAGAGACCCTCTCCAGGCCTCGGACCAGCTCTTGGATGCCTCCGGTGGGGGAAAACTCTTCCCCTTGGGCTGTGGTTCTCTCGTGGGGCCCTGGGCCAGCAGCCGAGCCCAAGACTTGCTAGGAGTGTGAAGTGCGGTGCCTCTCACACCTGAGGGTTCGCTGGACAGGCGAGGGTTTGAGAATCCTGAGCGAACTCATTCTCCACATCAGGACCAGTATAGCTTTCCCTCCTGCTCAGCTCTTCCCCAGGGCCTGCGGTGCGGTATCACTGGGCACATCTGTGACCCAGATGGACTTTTCTCGAAGCACCATGGAAAGAAGCAAAGGAACTCCATGATTTAACTTACATTTCACCTAGTTTGAGCTAGAAGTGCTGCATGAAATCCTAAGAAGAGAGCAGCTCCAAGACAGGTTTCCTTTAAACACTCCGCAGGAGCAAGCTACAGTCCATGGGCGCGGCACTTGCTCCTAGGAGACCCTTTGAGGAACAAACTCTATGGAGAAACCAAAGTTTTCAGCTCCGGCTTGAATATATCCCATTTGAAGCAGCAAGGTCAGGCCGGAAGTGGTGCAGAGCAGAGGGTGAGTGTTTGGAGAAGCCATTAAAATGGGGATGCCCAGGTCGGAGTGCCTGGGTTCAATGTCCAGCTCCAGCCCCAGCCCCTGGCTCCTGTATTCCTGCTAATACAAAGTGTGGGAGGCCACGGCGATGGCTCAAGCGGCTGAGTCCCTGCCCCGCACATGGGAGACTCGGATGGGGTTCCTGGCTTCAGCCCTCCTCCGCTGTTGCAGGTCTTTGAGGAGTGAACGAGTATATGGAAGTTCTCTCTTTCGTTCTCTCTGCCGTGCAAATAAATTTTTAAAAAAGTAGTTTAAAGAAGCACAAGCCCAAATTCTGCAGAGGATGAGCTCCCCATTGGATCGGTGGGCTTTCATGGACGGGACTCCAGCATCTGCCGCCCAGGGCTGTCCGCCATTGTAGGGCACTCTCAGGCACTGTCGCCCGTGCAGACCCCGGGCCGACCCAGCTGCAGGCAGCACCTGCCACCTCCCAACACAGGCGATGTCCACGCCGCCTGCCATGGAAGGCCAGAGAGGGGATCGTGGAAGACAGCTCTCTCTGGCACCCTGCGGTGTCTTCACATCCATCCCACTGACCAAGCTTTCGGTTCCCCTAACCGAGCAATGCAGCTTTATATGCTTCCCCCCGTACATTCTATGGGAGTCAAGCACGAGGTGACCGCATCGAGCGTGGACACAGGGTGACATCGATGGTTTGGAGACCACGGCTCGACGCCTATTCGTGCAAAGGCAAATCGGCTCTGTGAATCCCGCTTCTGAACAGCTTTGTGTTGCTATGGATTTTAAGCGGCTGGCTGGGAGCCGAAGAGTAACTACTCTGAGCCACATTGTGATGTTTCTTGGTCACACATAGCGAGGGCTAGCATTTCATAAACTCTTGGTTTTAATTATGACTCTCACACACATGTATTTCTTGCTTGGAATTATAGAATAAAGCAATCAGAAAACATCGTATTAGGTGATCGACAGATGTCTGAGTCTCTTTCTTCTGTCCCTCGGAGGAGCAAGTGGCCGCCTCTACCTCTCTGATATCAGTGTGGATGCTGCACACAAAGGGGTTGGAGTAAGGGTTCATCCGCGCTGGGTCGGAGTGCAGAGCATAGACTTTAATATGCGGTGTAGCCACCGCTGTGCTCCCTGGACGGAAAATCTTGGGCCAGTAGAGCTTTCACGGACACCGCATGAACCCACTGGCTGCGGCAGGGGCAGTGGGACCGCAGTGAGTCCCGGAGGTGATCACAGGGGGCAGCTTGCAAATAAAGATCTGAGAATAGGGTCCTCTCCTTACTTGTCCTTCATGAACCTTCTCTACTCAGAAGAGGAGCCCCAAATTCAAGGAGTGTCAGGAGATGTGTACATGTGTGTGTGTGTGTGTGTGTGTGAGAGAGAGAGAGAGAGAGAGGAGAGGTGAGTACACATGAGAAAGAATGGGAGTTCCCCACCAGGGTTGCCCTGTCTTTGAGGTTGAAGGGAAAGTAAACTTGAGTGTCCTGAACAGATGGGAATGGAATGAATGGCATGACAACCCAAAATAGACGGTTACTAGGCTTCGGGGACGAGATCCCGTGCAATTAACAGGAGACCCTGTGTTGCCATCACTCTCGGGAGTCATAATTCCCCCTGGGTGGCCCTGCGCAGCTGGGCTGTGTCGGGGGCACGTGCATGCATGGGCAACACAGCCAGCCATTGTGGCACGGCGGCCACCACTCCACTGAGCAATGACCTTGGCCTCCGGAGCAGGAGCTGTGCAGCTGCAGCGTGTGGCGTGCCCTCCTCTCAGTGGGCAGCCAGTGTCCAGCCTGGAAGTGCTGCCCAAAGCTGGCCTCTCTGTGGTCTCCCTCCCTCTACCCCCAGGGCAGCTGTCCCTCTCCTGTTGGGGCAGCTGAGCCCAGAGCCACAAGACAGGCAGAGAGCAGGTGACCCCTTCTCTGTGCTGTCTCCTATCCCAGTGCCACTCCCCAGGGCTGGGAGGTTCTGGCCTTAGGTGCTGCCCCCCACAGGCCGCCTGGCCTTTGCCAGCTTCCCTGGGCCATGCTGAGGGCAGGACAGAGAGCAGCTGAGCCGCCGAGCAGGGGCTGCAGGGCTCCTTGCTGCAGTCAAAGGTAACCCATGCTTTAGCCCTGCTGCTGCCCCCCACCGCCTTCCTCTCTCAAAGGGCGGAGTGGGGGAACGTTCAGGGTTCAAGTCCCTCCCTCGAAGCCCTGCAGCCCTGGAGGGAGGCACCGTGTCTAGGGCAGATGGGAAAAGTACACGTCTTTTTTCCTTCTCTCTCCCTCCCCACCCCCTTTTCCTTTTTCCATTTGCCAGTCGGAATGAAACAGAAATGCATTGTTGTTCATCTGCAAAAAAAGGGACTTTCTCCATAAATTTTCATTGCTCAGGCATTCTGAGAAATATTTTTTGGAGGGAAAATCCACCAACCATAACGGACTTACATGGAGGAATTTTTAAAAATGTTCTGAGTAAGTAGGCTTCATGTTTTACAACTTACATTTCCCCTTGTGTTGTGCCATTAAAGTGTGTGTTGGCTAACTTGGTAGCAAAATGGCTCAGGCTTTGGGAGGGAGACACAGTCTGATGGAAATCTTGCTTTCAGGGTGGCGGGTGGCATACTGGTATTACGACTGCTGCCTAACGCTCTGGTCAAAATCTCTTCAGCTTTCACATACGAGTCCAGTTTTTCTAGAAACATCTATTTGCAAGCTTTCCGTCACTACAACAAACACCTGAGAGAAGCCATTGAAAGAGGGAAGAGGTTTACTTGGCTCTCAGTTCTGGGGGTTCCGAGTCCAGAACCAGGCAGCCCCATGGGTTCGGACTTGGGTGACGGGTCCCTTGCTGACAGGGTCCTAGGGTGACACAGAGCGTCCCACGGCAAGAGAGAACTCGAGTGTCTGTCCAAGTCTATGTGGGCTCTTAGGAAGCCCCAGCATCCCTCCTAATGACCTAATCCAGTCACCTCCCAAGGGCCCCATTGCCAAGCACCACAAGTGGATTAAGTTTCCAACTTCCTAGTGTCATTAACATAAGACTTTGGGGTCCAGATTCCTGAGTTTGGGAAGCAAGTATTCAGGCATGAGAACATGAGTCTGAATTATTTTGAGTTTACCCAAGAACTCTTGATTGTGAATTCTTTCAAACATTCGAAAACCATGAGTAGACGGTAACCACTCTATTTTAAATGCACCTTTAACCCTTGGCTTTGGTGTTCCAGCAGCCTGTCCTGTTAGAAGTGAGATGAAACCATTGGGATAGACAACAACAATAAGCAAAAGTGGGAACAACTCAATTGTTCACTTGTGGATGAATGGATAAAAAAAATTGCGGTGCGCCCTTGTGCCTACCAGGGGAGACTATTTGGCCTTAAAAAGGAAGGGAATTCAAACACATCTAGCAATATAGATGAACCCTAAAGTGACTCTGCAAAGTGAAAGAAGTCATTCACACCGGGACACATCCCTTGTCACGTTCTCAGGGACAGAAA